CGCCCACCAGCCTCGAACCAGCTATGGACGCAAATCGATCACATTGCTATTAGTTGCCGCTGGAGAGGCTGCATCCAGAGTTGTCGCTCGGTTTGGAGCACATGTGTAGAAACCGATCATACACTTGTATGTGCTGACATGCGGATACGCTTTGGCGGACGCCCATGGCGACGCTGTGAGCGCATTGACACCAGCCAACTGACAAAGCCAGCTGTTCTGAATGCCTATCAAATTACGCTGTCATCCGAGTTGGATAAACGCTCACTGGTCTCATATTCACCAGACCTTACTAGCAGCAGGCAAATGCTCATGTGGTATGTCTAATCGCCAACATGGACATTGGGTCTCTTCACAGTCTTTGGAACTTATAGATGCTCGCCGGCATATTCCGACTGGAAGCGAACACAATGAAACTCGCAAAGAGCTCCGGATAAAACTCCGTGCTAGCCTGAAGTGAGACCGCGAATCCTGGTGGTCTCATCGTGCATCAGAGATGGAAGTGGCCGCTGCCCTTGGTAACCATCGTAAGTTATTCCGTCTGATACGGGAAACGGGCAGCAGGAGATCTGATGTTAGTGAAACAATTTGTGACGAGAATGGACAGCCTATCTGCAACTTATCAAAACGGTTAGAGCGTTGGGCTGAGCACTTTGAAAGGCAATTCAATCGGTCGGAATTGTTAGATCTCTCACCGGCCACTGATCGACCTGCTCCCTGAGCTGTCCCTTTGGATCCACCCTCTCGCTCAGAAGTCAAACGTGAGATCGGACTGTTGAAGTTGAGCAAAGCCGCGGGATCAGATAATCTTCCTCCAGCCCTCTTCAACTTCGGGAGACCTGCTCTTGTGGATGATTTATACGAGTTACTAGTCAAACTGTGGGAGCAGGAATCTGTCCCAACCGATTGGAGCCACTCCGTCGTTTCAATTTTCATGGGAGGCTCACGATCGGAATGCGGCAGCCATAGAGGAATCAGTCTGATATCCATTGCCTCCAAATTGCTTGCCTCTGTCATCCTTCACAGACTGACTGGCGTTTGTGAAAGCCAGATTCGTGAAGAGCAAGCTGGATTTCGTCGAGGTCGTGGCTGCATTGACCACATCTTAACATCGAGTCAGTTGTTGGAGCACCGTCACATATATTGGCGGCCCACCGTTGTCGTGTTGCTCGATATCAAAGGTGCATTCGATTCGGTAGATAGACATGCACTTTGGGACTGTCTACTCAGGAAAGGTGTTCCTGAGAAATATGTGAATATTATCCGAGCATTATATGCGCATAGCTCTGGCAGAGTGAGGGCTTACGGCAAGTTGTCGTCGCCCTTTAATATCTCCAGCGGCGTGAGGCAAGGATGCCCGTTGTCAGCTTTCCTCTTCAACTTCGCTGTTGACGAAGCCATGGAAATCGCGTTCACAGGACACGACTTAGAAGATGTGGATCTGCTCCCAGGAGAACGACTTCTTGACTTAGAGTATGCTGATGATATTGCCCTAATCTGTGACAGCTCACAAATGTGCCAAGCGGCACTGGACTGATTAGCACTAGCTGTCCGTCACTTCGGGCTTTGCTTCGCACCCTCGAAGTGCAAAGCGTTTCTCCAAGATTGGTCTGGACCGTCTCCTTCGCTGACTCTTGATGGGGATCAGCTAGAAGTCGTTCAAAATTCAACTACCTGGGTTGTTGTGTCAACGCCCGTGGGATTGAAGATGAGATCACAAACCGTATAGCAAAAGCTCGGGGCGCTTTTGCTAATCTTCGCCACTTATGGCGGCGGCGCGACATCACTATTGCCCTGAAGGGTATAGTGTGCAATACAGCAGTACGTTAGACCCTGTTGTACGGTTGTGAAACCTGGCCGCTTAAAGCAGCGGACCTGAAGAGGCTAGTTACGTTCGACCAACGGTGCCTTGTAATTTAGCTCACATTTGGTGGGAACACCGCGTGAGCAACGAGCGTGTTCGACGCCTTGTTTATGGCACATGAAAAGGAAATGAACCGCTCAGCACCGTTATTTCACGCACCATGCTCCAATGGCTCGGCCACGTATTACGCATGCCAGCCCACCGACTCCCGCGACGTGCGTTGCTTTCGCGCCGGGGGTGTGGATGGAAGGAGGGAGGGGTGGCCAAGCGATGACTTGGTCAAGAGGAATGAAGGCCCTCACTTCTGAGCTGGCCTCAGTTGGAGCGTCTCGGCTCCCTGGTTGAGGTCCGAAACACGATGAACACGTTTTGTTGGACACACTTGCTGACATGGCAAGTAGCCGACCTCAGTGGCGTTCGTGCTGTGAGTTTCTTTGACCCACCCCATTCCTCTTAGCCTCCCCCTCCAACCACGATCTGATTATTTAGCCTTATATACTTTCGCATAGCGATTTTTTTGATGCACAGTAGCCGGCTGGTAGCTTACCGGAACGATGCCCATCCGTTACCGGTAGCTCAGTCAGCTTGCACCAGTTGCTTTCTTTCTCCTTTTTTCTATGTATTGCGGCACAGTAGCTGAGATGTTTCCCACCTCTGGCTAACGTGTATGACGATGATAATGACCTGAGTTCAGGATCTACGAAGCAACACTAGATATGTCAGACATCACAAACGAAATGGTTGTTTGGGAATGCTGATCGTGACCGTCTGCGGTTCACGTTAAAGAGAGCTTCGAATGCTCTTCTGTATGTAATCTGGTGTTCCTCGAACTTCTTATGCGTCGACCTTTTTGCTTGTAAGACGGGTTGGTTCTGTCTATCGGTGGGCTTCAGTGTCAGCAACGCCGTGGAATGGCTTTTGTTTGGGGGCCTCAAATGGAATTAGTAGCGTTTGCGGTTAGCATGCAATGGAAGCTATTGGTATTTGAAATGGCAAAAGACCTGAGCGCAAATAAGACCTAAATCTTCTCATTTCCTGCAGTTCTGAAACACGTACTTAATCTATTTCGCACAACCACTAACCCAAACAAAGGAAAAAGTCAGAACGACCTTGCCCCAAATAACGTTTTAACCGCAGTCAAACAGCAGCTGTACAAAGGTGGCAGATCATAGTCATATTTATAAGTCGCCTCATGACCTTCAGCTTCTATGATTAGATCAGCTACCAAGGTTAGTTGTTCCCCATAGATTTTACCGGTCTTCAGGAAGGTTGTTAATTACGTGTTAGCCTTAGAACATTCCAAAGCGTTCGAAATCCATGCGATAATCATTAACAATCGACCGTCGCAACGAGACTGGACCTTAACGTGGTGCGACGATTTGCGTACCTCATTGACCCATTGAGCTGTACTGGGTGATGCCTCCGAGTATCTTGAGAGCTACTCCTACCAGGTTGGTCAATGGTGAGAGGTCAGACAAACTCAGTCTCCTGGTCCTCCAGGTTGGGGGTTTGAAATGGGATGACGTCCATTTCTGTAAAACTAAATCACTGCCACCCCGCTGCCTTGCGGACAGGCTTTTGAGCCAAAGGCTTTGGTTGAGGACCCTGTCTAGGTCTGGGCG